CCCCCCTCCCGCCCGGGGGCTGAGGCCGGTCAGACCCGGCGCGGGCTGCGCTCTCCGGCCAGGGCTAGGGCTCCAGTCCCGAGGTGAGAAAGACGGGAGGGAAGCCAAGGGCCCGCGGCCGGGGAATTTCCCCCTCGGCCCGCAGCCAAGTCCAGACGCCTCCTCCAAAGCCTCAGCAGGTGCGCGGGGACGGAGACGGGGACCGCCGGAGAGAGCGAGGGGGCCGGAGGGGCGGGGTCTGCGCGGCTCTCACGCTGCGGGCGCGGGCGGCGTAGGAGACTAGCTGGGGAGGGGTGTATCTCGGGGTCGCCTTCTGTGCTTTCTGAACTAGGGGGTGCTTTTCTGGGAGTTTGAAGACTGCAGGGACTTCCTCCCCAACCGCTTCAGCCTCTTACCAGCCACCGACTGATGCCCCCAAGGTCAGGCACCAGCCGAGAGCAGAAGGCAGAGATCTAAAAAATGAGGCTGGAAGACCAAGTCCAGACTTAGGGACAAAGAATTAAGTCTTCCCTGAGCCCTGACCCAGGTTCCGCCCTATGTACACGTGTGTCTTTGTTTAACATGTTGATGTTTCCTTGATCATAGGGGCTCTGCATTCACTTTGATTTTTATGTACTACAGTAAAAATGATTTTGATGACTCAATCGCAGTTTTTTGGCACCCTTTAAACTGAGGCAGGCGCCTGACTGGCCTCTCCCTGGTTCCACAAAGCCATGGAGATACAGTTATAAACACAACTGAGTACGTAGCCAGTCATGTGCTGGTGACAAACCCCCCAGGTCAAGCAAACACATTTCCAGCAAACACAGATGGCTTGTTGGTGACAGCTGAGAGGATACAGGCCAGTGAGTGACGTGGTGAGGCATGTATGGGGCCTGCATGGGGGGTGAGGGGAGAGAAAAGCTGGGGCAAGCTGTAGCCCCAAATAGGGTTGGGAATGGGGGCACGGCTGGCTCCTCCCTGCTCCTGAGACAGGGACCTGAGGGAGCCCAGAGACTGAGAGCAGAGCGCCTTTGGACTGACAGAGGGTGAGGACTGGGTGGGCCAGGGCAGGAAAACTCTGGGCACAGGCGTGTGTGAGTTGTCCAGCAGAGGGCCCTGGCACTCAGCAACCTCTCTGCCTGGGGAGGGCAGCTCCAGGGGAGTGGAGGTGCTGGCTGGGAGCCCAAGCAGGGTGTGCACTAGATGGCCTTCTCCCCAGCAATAGCACCCTGGCTGTTGCCATCCTCCCAGGCGGCCAGGCCCGGGGTGGGGGTGTAAGGACCCAGCTTCCCTCATCTGCCCTGGAACCCTCACCACTGTCCCTCCAGTTCCCTTCCACTCCCAACCCCCTTAGTATACTTGTAGTCACCGGGATCCAGCTGCCCGGCCCTGCCTAACAGATCTGACCAGCAGGCCTGCCACCCCCTCAGGCCCCGAGAGACAGGAAAGAAACGTGGGGAAGAGAGGCAGGGGGCCAAGGAAGATGGAGCTGAGGGCTAGGAGAGGAAGAGAGAGAGACTGGACAAACACGAGGGTGGGAATCCGGACTTGTGGACAGACGTGAGCTACTCTCAAGCCGTGGGCCGGTGCCTAGAAAAATACCACCCAAGCCCGTCTTCCTGCCCTCTGTTTGGCTAGGGCTGGAGGGGGGATGTGTGTCATCTCCGTGGGCATGGAGCGGAAGCTGGGGGCACCAGCTGCCTCTCTCAGTGCCCGTGTTCCTCTGGGGAGAGGGTGTGACCGCCTCATCCCTAGGATGTTGGTACTGCTAATTGTTAATTAGTTGTCTGTGGCTTCTCTAGGGTACAGGCCCTTGTGGCTGGGGGTGGGGTGCCCCAGCCTGGAATGATTTTTCTACCCATCCCCAATGTCTCTAGCCTTTGGATCTCCTCCAGTAAAGAGTGCTGCTCTTGGGACCCCCGGCAGCCAGGGACACAGGCTCCTTCTCCCCATTTACTGCCCCCCCAAAAGGGGGCACCCTTCCCCCTCCCCCAGGTCTGGGATGGATCATCTTCCGAGCATGGCCACCCCTTCCTCCGCAGCCTGGGGAGGATGTGGAGTCAGCAGGACTCCCACCTCTGAATTTCCCCGGGGCTGGGACAATAGGATTCCCTCAGGATGTCTGGCTGTGCCAGGCTTTCTCTCTTCCGGCCCCCACTGTGCTGTTTTCCGAAGTGCTGGAGTTAGGGTGAATCGCGGGGGCTGCAGAGCTGACCCTCTATCCCCTACCCCTCCATACCCACACCCCCTCCCGGGCAAAGGGCTACGGCGTTTGAGTGTCTCTGCGTGTCTCTGTGTCAGGGGTAGGAAGGTCCGCCATGCAGGTCACAGTACAATTAGGTGCAAGAGATCCCACCAGGGAATGGATGGGGTGGGGGGCAGACTTGAAGGAGGAGAAAAGGAGACGAGGTCTTAAAAGAAGAAGGTAACCCCGAAAGGGCAGAGAGAAGGTGCCGCTTGGAAGAGACGCGGCGTGGGCGGGGCTGGGGGAGCATAACGGAACGAATGAGAGGGACTGTGACCACGGGGCGCGCGGGCCCGCCTGAGCAGGAGCTCTGCCCACGGGACAGTCCCGAGATGGGTCCTGTAGGCGTGTGCGTAGCCCCGGCGCCGAGGAGACTCGGGGTACCCAGCGTGTAGCCGTACCCTCCAGTCCCACGTGCCCCATGATGGCAGGGTTTGGTGTGGCAGAGCCCTAAGAGGTTCCATCTACAGAAATAAGGTGACCAGGCGGTCGTGGGGGCGCGGGGTCTGGGGTGGGGTCCCCGAGCTGCAGTGGGGGGGACCGGGGCGGGCTGG